AGAGAAGCACCATCACACCAAAACGTGTGACCTCTTGCGACGGCATTTTCATTAAGTGCTCTTGCTGCCAATACCAGTGTCGCGCGTGATTTGTTTGATTCACTTATCACAGGGGCGATGCCATTCCTTTGAGGGTCGCAGTCCACTTCGAACGTCAACCACCAACTGAAGTCCACAATTTGCTCGAGTGCGCATCAAGACGGGCGAAGCGTCCAAAAAGTGACAACCATCATCCTCGAATTAAGATCTCAATCACTAACAACAACCGCCATTCGCCACTAAGTGGCGGTGACATCACCATGGCGCTTGTGTCAGGCGATGAGCATAGATTGAGGCCATTAAAAGACCGGTCGCAGACACAATAGTGACATTTCTGACGAAGTGGAACCATCGGATGCCAAGAAAGTGTCTTTGAAATTGCATGTGGAATGACTGCAGCTGATCCAATCAGCTTGAAGCATTGTCCAGGGCTCGGCACCATACAACAAAACTGACAAAAACAGTACTAGTGTAATAAAAGGACTCAGACGCTTCTCTCTGACTCCGTGTCCTTTATTTGGGGTTCGCGTTCTCCTTCCCACACGGCACTCCTCCTGAGACTCTCTCCCTGGCAGCCCCACATCTGCCTTCGCTCCCGTAGCCTTCCACGCTCCTGCAGCTCCGCTGCAGGCTCTTGGTGCAGCCCTCTGGCTGCTCCCCCAGCAGCTCCATCGCTACTCCCTGTTCCTCCGTGCGTGGCGATCTCGCCACCTCCCAATGTCAGCCCTTCGTGGCCTCTATGGCTATCTCGCCATTTCCTACCTCAGCCCTTCGTGGCCTCTGTGGCTATCTCGCCATTTCCTACCTCAGCCCTTCGTGGCCTCTGTGGCTATCTCGCCACTTCCTACCTCAATCCTCCACTCTCTCTTCCACCCCGCTGGCTGGCGCCGTCATGAGCCCCTCAGCCACCAGGCTGAGGCACGGCGACCACCCAACGTGTTCACCACCCTTCACTCCCCCGACTGACCCAGATAGCTTCCTGTCTCCCCGCTATAACTTCTCCCCCACGTCACCCTGACTCCTCCCTCTCGGATCGTCATATCCGCCCCGCCCATTTACGCCCGCATTACACTACCCTCCCCCGTAGAGAAAATCCCAGCCGTCCTCGGCTGAAACAGAACAAAATAATGCGGGCGAAGGCATCACAATCAGGAGTCCCCCAGACACAACGGAGATTATAACAACAACAACACAAGCAACGAAAGGGGAGGTATCAGGAACTGGAACAGAACACCGGCCTGTCCTCCGCGCAACATCAACAAGAATAAGAATGGCACAATGAACAAAAACGGCAACTGACACGCAAGAATGGCCAACGCGCACAACCCAGAAATGTGATGTTTTAGTGCGTGTCCATGTTGCAGTTCCATCCGCTCGGCTCAAGTCCAACGTCAAAGAGCAAGTGGTAGAGCAGAATGACGAACGGCGCTCAATTGCTCCTTCAAGTCCTCATCCAGCTAGCACACCAGGTAACACCCAGTGCGACGGGAGCTGAAGAATCTGTGACGAGAAGGAGAATCCAATCCCCTGAGGCACAGCACAACAACGCACATCCGCATGTCGTACACGACAGCCACCCGGCCTCAGGGTAGTGGAGATGATGTAAATCCAGCCCGCTTAAAAAAACTCCCCATAAATACCCAAAATAACGCAATGGATGCCCCAGTATTTACATTTTAACAACAATATTATTTACACGTGACAACAACAACAACAAAATTTCCTGCTCTTGCCCACCAGCAGTCCTCCCTTGAGGACCAGCACAGACATCGCACGTACACAGCATGTACCCACGGTCACTCTCAGCAACCCAACAAAACACCTAATCGCACACCCTCGCGTGGAGAGAGCCACGCTCCCCAGCGGTAACGTTTAACTCGCCCTAACCCCCACCGTGGTCGTCAACCCACAGCAACATCCACTGACCATACTCTCAGCTAGTGCAATTTCGGGGATGAGCAGCAACTCGGCCACGCTCCTCCCTTACTATCCCATCAGAGATGGACACACACCAGCCTCGTATAGTCCGATGCTTTATAGCCCAGGGAAGGTTCATCCCCCAGCAATGCCAGACCCCCTGTACTCCCCCCACGGGGCAATGTTCTCTTATAGAGACAATAACACCCTAACCCAGATCCCGTGAGCCCCCGGCACACCAGGTTCAGTCTGCCACCGCACAACTGAACCATGACTCCCCGAGCCATATGAGCACATGGCCCATTAGTTTAAGACATACCACGGAGGTTTCGCCTCCGGGCTGTCAGGTCAGCCATCAGCCATAGGCCGATGTGACCACAACTCGTGCATCACCCAATCAACAATGGCAGGCATAACAGATGGAATACTTGCCCCACCGCGGTTTTTCCCGCGCGCTCAAAATGGCGTCCCCCTTCGCCCAGCGCGTTCGCGCAATATCTCGCGCGCACTCAAAATGGCGGCCCTTTCCGCAAAGCGCATCGTCGCCATACCCCGCGTGCGCGCAAAATGGCGGCCCAGCGTGCGAACACGTGGCCAGTTTTCTCCATTCGTGCACCCCAGCTTCCCTTAGCTGGGGGTCACAAGACGCATCCCCCGTCACGTTATAACAACCCCACCAACGATAGACGCACAGCCCCAGCTTGCTGCGCACAGCTGTCATATCGTGGAATTTTTAACCAATATTTTACCAACCACATTGGTTACACAACCCAACTCGCCAAGCAACTCGTGGCTGCATGCGATCAACCGAATACGCGACGCCACTTGGCGCCAATTTACGGTCCCATTAGCATTAACCTTTGAGACACCCACAACGGCGTCATCACGCACCCTCAAAGCGCGCTCTCTCTCTCTCAAAAAGCGCAATTACCCATAATATACACGAAATCTCGTGTGCACAACACCCATACAACCAATGTTTTAGGGTCCCCCTCTATAATATACACGCAATCTCGTGTGCACAACAACCATACAACCAAATATTTGGGTCCCCCTCGAATTTGTTACCAATTTCCAACAGGTACGCACAATATAATAACAATCTCAATTCCAATAGTCAACCACTGCATCGCACCCCATAACCATACAGAACGGTATAACAGCACATGCAATCAGCATATCGCGATCACACGCGTACATTTAAACACAATAGCAAGCAGATCTGCAGGCAACCAACACACCATTAATCCTGTCATAACTTTGCAGCAACAACACAATTATTCTCTCACTTGCAACAATCGCATCGCACACAGCACCTCGCAGCACAATACACCAAAAAAAATTTTTTTTTTTTTTTTTCCAATTAAGCCCATCACACAAGGTAACCCACAAATAATACAGCGCAAGATACCCGACGCTCCCAAGTTAATAATTAACTTCACCATCAAGATAACAACTCCACGCAGCAGCGCACACACACAATTTGACACTCAGCAAATACAGCAGACTCTCCGTCCATTCTCAACACATGCACACACTTATATTGACACCAAGCAACAAGCAGATAGCGCGTTCATCGTTATTACACACACATACAGACAGTCCGAACCGCGCTCCGCACAATCGAGTCATAAGAGAAAACCAAAATAGCCCCCCCCCGGCCCTCGAAAGATGAGTGAGGTGTGTGTTAAGGCCGGGTGCGTATCGTTATGACTCGCCCGGGGCTGCAGCAAGAAGAGGACGGCAGGGTGGCAACTTGAGACGCCTCGCAGAACTCGTTCGGCGACTTGACGGCTCCGTTGTCACGCACCCGAACCAGGACGGGAAGCTCCCGCCCCAGCAGCTGCAGCATCGGCGTCTTCTCCTCGCAGCACCCCCTCGAAAAACAGCAGCTCACAGCAGGCTGCTCACCCCGCGGCACCTCCAGATGGCAGCGCAAGGCTGCCTCTCCGCCGCGATGTTGAAGATGGCGGCGTCCTCCCGCCGCTGTGAAGACAAGATGGCGGCTTCCCGCCGTTTCTCCCCTGCCACGCCCAAGATGGCGTCTTCGTGCCACGTGGCAATGGCGCTGGCAGCGCAGGAAAGGCAGAGGCCTGCGGATCACCACCGGGCCTCCCCGACGCCGTCCTCGGCGTGGTGAACTCACACAGTTGCGCCAGCACGATTTTCAAGGTCTCCATCTGCGCCGCCATCTGTCTCCATCGTAAGTTGGCATCCTCCGGCACAGACAGGTCCACCAACGCGGCGACACCTTGCTCACCCGGACCCGTACTCGTTCCAGAACGGATCTCCTCTTCCATCGCAGGCAGGTCCACTGTCTGAGGAAGGTCGTCGTCGTCGGATGATGTAGCAGGAATATTTTTTTTTTCCTTCTTTCTCTCAGTTGTTTTGAGATGCCGTTTCACTTCTGACTCCAGTGTAATAAAAGGACTCAGACGCTTCTCTCTGACTCCGTGTCCTTTATTTGGGGTTCGCGTTCTCCTTCCCACACGGCACTCCTCCTGAGACTCTCTCCCTGGCAGCCCCACATCTGCCTTCGCTCCCGTAGCCTTCCACGCTCCTGCAGCTCCGCTGCAGGCTCTTGGTGCAGCCCTCTGGCTGCTCCCCCAGCAGCTCCATCGCTACTCCCTGTTCCTCCGTGCGTGGCGATCTCGCCACCTCCCAATGTCAGCCCTTCGTGGCCTCTATGGCTATCTCGCCATTTCCTACCTCAGCCCTTCGTGGCCTCTGTGGCTATCTCGCCATTTCCTACCTCAGCCCTTCGTGGCCTCTGTGGCTATCTCGCCACTTCCTACCTCAATCCTCCACTCTCTCTTTCCACCCCGCTGGCTGGCGCCGTCATGAGCCCCTCAGCCACCAGGCTGAGGCACGGCGACCACCCAACGTGTTCACCACCCTTCACTCCCCCGACTGACCCAGATAGCTTCCTGTCTCCCCGCTATAACTTCTCCCCCACGTCACCCTGACTCCTCCCTCTCGGATCGTCATATCCGCCCCGCCCATTTACGCCCGCATTACACTAGTAAACTCTCTATTTGTTGCCCAGATTTAAACGTTTCTGGGACAAGATGCGGTTCAGACCATTCATTATTCTTAAGGCCAGTCCGATCCGGCGCATGAAATCAGGTTTACATTGTCCATTGCCGGTCAGTGTGCAGATGATAGGTAGATACATTCTTCCACTGCTTTGGCAGCATTGCCGTTCATTATACAGGGTGCTTCTGGAGGTCCAGAGCCCAAGTTCTAGACTTTTGTTTTCTGCCATGAATCATTGTATAAATTTTCTTGCATTGTTTGGTAAATGTTGGAGGACTACAGTGTGAATGGTTCAGAGTCAAAGGCTGCCTTCAAATCAATGTAAGCGACATGTGGTGGGCGATCGAACACGGTGCAGTTTTGCAAGTCAGTGGAGATTAAGCACAGCATCCGTCGTAGACTGATTCATTAAAATAGAAGGGAACATTTGCAATGCATTTATTCTGAGTTTAACTCGGCAATTTTTTGAACGAACGTGGCCATCATGTTTCCTAAAGGTGATATGATGTCAGATTCATCTTTCTTGAATTGCGTCAGTGGTCTCTAACAGCCGAGTGTCGATACTCCTTGGTGTCTCTTTGTTGCTGTCCCGTTCACTCAACACAATCCTGGGCCTTCACTTTATTCGGCTGCTGCCGTAAAAACCGCAGTGTACTCAGGATGGAGGCACCAAGGATGAACAAAGAAACACAGAGCAAGGCCAGAGCAGACACGATGCAGCCTGAAAGTCCTGCATAGGGAGGAGAGGATCAAGGATCAGGATCAGAGGTCACTTGTGGAACCCACCAACAACTACACTGTTACCACCTTCCGACTCAGACATCTGAGCCATTCAGTGTAGGGCCCTCCAATTATGAGTGTTTGTCCTCTGGCTATTTCCTGTACCGAGCTGATATCAAACCATGCTTACACTGGCCTAAAAAGGTCCGAATCTGGCACGCATGGCCACTGGCAAGTTATTGATATATTCCTTGCATATGACACGAGTCAGTTTAAGTCAAACAGCTTTACCAGGTCATTGAGATTAGTGGCAACCCATTATTTGTGTAATAAAGGACTCCGTCACACGATGTTGATCTCCGTTGGTCCTTTATTTGTGTTCGTCTTCCGCTCACCCCACTGGCCTCCTCCTCGGTCCAGCGTCGTCTCTCCTTGCGCCCTGCGTACTCTGCAGCTACCCTGCTGCTCCGCTCTGCAGCTACTCTGCTGCCTGTGCAACCTCGCACCCCCTGCTAGTCCTCCGCTAGCTCTGCGGCTACTCTGCTGCTCTGTGCAACCTCGCACGCCCTGTGCTAGCCCTCCGCTAGCTCTGCAGCTACTCTGCTGCTCCGAGCAACCTCGCACACCCTGTGCGCCCCGCGCACTCTGCTCTCTCCTCACCCTGCTGGCTGGCGCCGTCTGGTGAGCCCCATCAGCCTCCAAGCTGAGGGCAAGGCGACCACCCAACGTGGTCTCCCTCTTCACTCCCTCGACTGCTCCAGATGTCTTCCTGTCCCCATCCTATAACCTCTCCCCCACGTGACCCTGACTCCTCCCTCTCGGCTCGTCACATCCGGCCTGCCCATTTACGCTCGCATTACATTTGCATATGATGTTGGTAACACGGCTCAGATTCTGCAGTTGAAAAGACCTGGTGCCTCCTGAGCTGTTCCAGGCTGGCTCAGCATGGCCCCAGTTTGGCTCAGTTGTACAGTGGAAAAGAGGTTTGGAATGGTTAAGCTATTATCCATCACATCAAAAGCAATCTGTATCAGTGTGAATTATCGAGTTCATACGCTCCGTGTGAGATCAATTACTAATAAATATAACCTTCACCACCATCACCGTCCATGGGCAGATAGTCTTTCGGTTTCCACTTCACATTTCGTCATGTGTTTCCACTTTCTTCTGTCTTGTGCCAATATGCTCAGGTAGTGGCACATCTTTCTGGCACGAATATTTTATGACGTCATTACATTCTCTATTCGCTCTTCTTCTTTTTCAGGTTACTTCCATTCTTCTGAGCACACTTTAAATGTTCCTGTTATTGTCCATCTTACATATGTGTCCAAAAAGTGACAGTTTCCTTCTCATCATTGCCTGCATCAGGTCTTCTATGAACAACATTTTTCTTTTGTCTACGTTGGTCACTGTAGATCTACTTTAGATGCAGTATCCTTCCATAGTACATTTCGAATGCCAATATCTTTTCTCGGTCAGTCTTTTTCAATGTTCATGTCTTGCAGACATACAAGGCTGTACTGACCTCGTGTGTTCTTAAGATGATCAGGTTTTTCTTGTAGCAGATTTTCTTCTCCAGATGTTTTTGCATCCTGCAATTACTCATTTAGCCTTTGCGATCATCGCTCTTGTCTTTCATGCAGTGGTTGTCCTATGTCAGTAGACTTCTCTAAAATTCAAATTCCTTGACATTCATAATCATGCTGCTTTCTATTATTTCTTCATTCTCAATTTCCTTCCTTCCGAACATCATCGCCTGTCTTTTTCACGTTATTCCTCAGTCTTGTAATTTTTCTTAACTTTGCATATGAACACTTTCCTGCAGTACAATTCAGCTTTCTTCCATGTCATCCACGAATCTCAGGTATATTTTTTATTAGTCCTTGCACAGATATTCCTTACAATAACTCTTTTCGAGTACGGGACAACGTTGTTTGGTGACAGTGAATTTCCTTGTTTCATACCTATTTTAATTCTTCCTGTACAACTTTTAATGACGACTTTGACCTTTCACCTATATCCTGCAGAATCTGTCAGACTTTTCCGTACTCTGGATGATCTTAACGTTGACCATGTTATATCTTGCTTGCTGGAATCTAATGCTGTCTAGAAATCTATGAAACAGCTGTAAACCAGCCTAGTCTTTTTCTGATATGAGCCTTATGTACTCTTCCTATATTTCCTAAACTCTGGCTGTTCATCCACCAAACATTCCTCAGCCTGTGCTTTGAATCTATTTAATAGTATTATCAAGAATACTTTCCTCATGTGGCTTATTAGTGCGATGGTTCTGTAATTTTTACCATCGGTGAGATTTCCTTTGTTGGGTATCATCACAAATATGGATTTTGTCTACTCCTCTGGTATTTTTTCTTCTCTCCATACTTGCTTGCATAGCTCGTGGATTTGTTTTACAAATCCTTCCCCTCCAGCTTTTATCATTTTTCCGCACATGCCCACTCTGAGACTTTTGTTCTTCTTCAGATGTTTTATTGAATTTTCAATTTCGTCATACGATAATTTATCGTTTTCTTCATCTCCTGGTGGTAGGGCTATAATTTCTAGTTCATTCACCAATTCTATTCTCTATACAAATCGCTGCAATACTCAGTCCATGTATTTTTTTTTTGTCCATCAAGATCTTACCATCTTTTATCGCTGTTTGCTGTGGTTACCACTTCCTATTTGTGCTCTTGACGAGTTTGTAGACCTCTCTGGTCTTGTATTTTCCAGCGTAGTATTATAAGACGCTACATTGCTTTTCCCACCCTTCCTGCTCACCCTTCATTGCTAATGTCCTTCATTGCATAGCTTTTTGTACTTCGTCACCATCTCCTGCTATTCCTTTATCTTTAGCCTTATTTTTGCTCGATTCTTGTGCTATTTACATTTTTTTGGGTTTTACTACTAAGGGTATTCATGCTTCTACAGCTTTCTCCACTATCTTCATTAGTGATAATGCCTTGGTGTCTATGCTAAGGTGTTCTATTTCTGCCCCCTGATTCTACTCGATCTTTCTTCTTCATATTTCCTCCTTATCTCCTAGTTCGAGTGACTCTGTGTTCCTCTTCGTATCATATTGCATTCTAGATATACCTTTTTATTTTTAGTCGTAAGTTGCATAGTACCAAGCTGTGGTCCAAAGACACATCAGCTCCTTGGAATGTTCTGTATAGTCGAACTGATGTTTTCCAGCGTCTATCGATCATTACCAGATCGATCACATTCCTATGTTTTCTATCTGGTGCCCTGCATGTCCATTTTCTGCAGTATTTCTGCATGTATTCGTCTAATATATGAGCATCTCATGTTTTGAAGCAAATTCTAGCGGTTTTTTACCTATTTCATTTATTTCTCTACGTCCATACATTCGCTTGATGCGTTCCAATCCGGTGTTATCCTTCCTAATTTTTGCAATAAAGTCTCCCACAATTATCTTAATATTGCTTTTAGGCAGTTCCTTTAACGTGCTTTACAGCATTTCATAGAACTTTTCAATATCCTCCACTGCACTGATGGTGCATATATTTGGATGACCGAAATGTATGGCTTGTCCATTAAATCTCGCTACAATAACTCTTGGACTATATCCCAATGATGAGGCTTTGAGTTTTCCATTCAACAAGAACCCGTCAAGTGTACACTTTATCTTCCCCTGACCAGATCGCTTCACCCCCAATTTAGCTCCCATATTCTTGTCCATCCATTTCTGAGTCCGAGGATGCCGTACCTGTATCTTTATATTCCCTTATTAGCAGCTCTAACTGTCCTGTTGCCCATAGTGTTCTCACATTCTATGTCCCTACTGTGATCTCATTCACCATTCTCAGAACTTTCGTTGTTTTGGCTGCTTTGTTTCCCAACGTTGTCATAGCTGCTGCTACATTACAGTAGCAAATTGTTTGACCCAATCCCGGTGGCTCAATTGGGGACACGGACATTGTTGACCCATGTAACGGCAGAGCTGGTATCCTGTGGTCGTCAAGTGCATTGGATGACTTTTGTCTTTTTTTTCACGGCCAAATTATAAGCACCCTTTCATATATATGAGCTAATTATAAGCACCCTTTCATATATATGAACAGTTCTACTTGTAATTGCCTACGCACAACTACCTTCATCAAGCAACAGCCAGATTTGGCTAGTTGTGTCGGGTGGTGGCGGGATTAACGACACATTTGTATATATTTACGAGATCTAACCCAAAATAACTGTAATATGGATGATATTGGTCGTTTACACTATGAGACCTCCTTTACCAGTGGCAAAATATAGTAGTAGGTTTTTACCCTTTAAACTGGTACAAAACTGACACCTTTATACAAGGCATCATGTTTGCAATAACCGCAACACAAGCAGTCAAAATGCAAACAAAAAGAAACAACTCTGATAATGGTAATGATATGCACTGTCCTTGAAGTTGATTGGTCCACACCCGAGACAGCTTTCCTTAGAGCCTAGTCTCCATTGGTGTTGGACCAGATGACGCCAAAAGGCATACTACTCAAAAACAGTGCACTATCAGAGTATTGAGAGCTCGGGTAAGCATTTACACTATGAGACCTCCTTTACCAGTGGGAAAATATAGTAGTAGGTTTTTACCATTTAAACTGGTACAAAACTGACACCTTTATACAAGGCATCATGTTTGCAATAACCGCAACACAAGCAGTCAAAATGCAAACAAAAAGAAACAATTTTGATTAATATGCTAAATTCCTCTTGATATGCAAATTATTTTGTCAAGACGCTCTTTGCACCTCCATCCCAGCATAATTAGTCGCTCCAAGCCTGGAGCGTGACATTCAGACTCTGTCTACTTGACGGACCTGTTCTCCACCTGAGGATGGCTGCTTGCGTTGTGGCCGAAACGTCGTGAGAATTATTTTATTATGTTTTATTTTTATTATTTTATTACTTCCCTTCTACGTGACTTTACCGAAAAAACCAAGAGGAAAAAAGAAACAACTCTGATAATGGAAATGATATGCACTGTCCTTGAAGTTGATT